CAGAGATACATACATACAGTGCATACATCAAACATAAATACATAAAAACACATATTACATAAAAACAAACAACATAAACACAAAAATACCGATACAAACAAAAGATACAAACAAATGCAATCAAGTATAAGCAAATGCAGATAAATAAAAAAAACACATACAAGCAAAATTTTAAAAATACAATCAATTATGAGCAAATAGAAAGAAATAGAAAGAAACACATACATCTGAATCAGGTCCCTTATCTGCCCCGGGGCACACGAAGGTCACAAACTCGTGACATCTCTTGTGAACTACGAAGCTACAGACTGTATGGGGAAAAAATTATAATGGTGATGTCACGGTGATTATGACGATGATGACGACGACAACGATGATGTGATGTGATGACGATGTTGATGTGACGACCTGATAAGGATGATTATGAGGTTATAACGATGATGATGGTGATGGTGGTGATGTGATTAAGATTATGATGATGTGACATAATCATAATATGATGGTGATGATAATTATGAATAAATATTCATAAGGTGATGATGATTACGGTGATGTTTGGTGTGATAATGCAACTAGAGAATGATCAGAAAATGATGCTGATTAGAATGATATAAACGGTATCGCTGATTTTTGATAACGAATTTAACACTGATAAAAATGTTTGCACTGGCTGATGGTGAAAACAAACGTGATGGTAATAGTGATGATGATAGTGATGATGATAGTGATGATGATAGTGATGATGATAGTGATGATGATAGCGATGATGATAGCGATGATGATAGTGGTGATGATAATGACAATACACGCTCGTTCAAATGAATGTTCCTCCGTTTATGCATCAAGAACGTAAATTTAATTTCACAAGCCATTGAGTTTAATGTTTGCTTCTGAATGTGCCTTCGTCATGCGCTCGTGCAATTATTTTCTATGTATGCTTCATTGTTATCCTTGCTACTCTCATCAACATCATTACCACTGCCAATAATAAAACTAAATTTCATTTCTAATTTTTAGACGAAATATTCGAGAAATGTGGTCGTGTTTCATTGTGCGTTCGTATCTAACTGGATGTGTGTGTGTGTGTGTGTGTGTATGTGTGTGTGTGTGTGTGTAAGGGTGTGTGGGTGTGTGTGAGGGTGCGTACGCTGAAATAATAGGCTGGAAGAATATTATTATTCGTGTAAGTTGGTGTACGTGTTCATAAGATATTGAACAATTAATCGGTGCAATTTATAACACAATCGTAAATAACAGTCCTGCTTTGTTTTCAAGAGCTCATCCAAAACATCACAGAGAATCAAACATCATCGTAAAGAGCAACACGGACAACAACAACAACAGCAACAGCAATATGGACAACAACGACAACATGGACAACTAAAGCAACATGAACAACAACGACAACAAAAACAACAACATGAACAACAACATGAACAACAACAACAACAGCAGCAGCAGCAGCATGGACAACAACAACAACAACATGAACAACAACAACATGAACAACAACAACATGAACAACAACAACAACAACAACAGCAATAAGGACAACAACGACAACACGGACAACAAAAAAAAACAACATGAACAACGACGACAACAACAACGGGAAAGCGCTGTCAGAAGCAGCAGTAGCAAGGAAATATTCGACCATTGTTGCATTGTTGTATGTATGTTGTAAATTAAATTTGAAGGCAAGCGAACACCCGACATGTTTATGCGCCGCAGAAATGTACAAAAATCACAACAGTGCCTACCACTACTACAACTACTTCTACTGCCACTAATAACATGGTCAGGTCATTACTGTTACGAGTACTAACAATGCTTATACAACAAGTGTTAACTAAAATTTTTTACTCTTATCAATTGCAAGAGTACTAGCACGATTATCACTATTTTAATAATATTATAGTTAATAGAATCAGTAACAGTATCAACATCGCAATTTGTATAGCGCTGTCTTCAGTGCACCTCATAAAAGTAATGATATCTTTTTAAAAAACTGTTGATCAGTGATAGAACCATTCTTCAAGTGGACAGGGATTGAGTTCCATACATCCGCTACTACCCCAACAAATTTTTTTCCGAAATTTGAAGAGTGGAGAGCCGGAGTGATCAGATCCCCTTGGCCCGATGACTTTAGAGGGCCACGTCCATGAACCTTGATACCGGAATTAGTTGTTCAATTATACAAAGTAGTGTTGTACTAACTGGACAGTCCACCAGCAAAGCAATTTTAAATTTATTTGTTGCTAGCACAGCAACCAATAGAATTTAGTACGCAAGTATTTCAAAATGAAGTGAGATTTTGAGACCCCGGCAATCATCCTAACTGCTTCTTTAAACACTGATTGTAAACAGTCCTGGAAAGTAAGTTAGTCCCATGCGTTATTGAATTTAAGAAATTAATTCTACTACAGCAAAGCTGTGTACAAGTGTTTCTGTTGACTTTATAGTGAAAAATCGTCTGATTGTTTTCATTCGATAGAGTTGTTAAAAAACTTTTGCAGGTGCTTTCAACGTAGTTCTCCACGGACAGACGCAAATCGACAAGTACACCGAAATCGTTCACCGGTGTCTTGAACTCGCTTATTGAATTTAACCTTTGCCTGGTAGCAAGCGAGATGTGATGCGTTTTATCGACATAGCCAGTTATAGGTTTTTACGGTCTTCCCACTTGTTTTCCCAACAAATAAAAAAAGGAAATGAAAGACGAAGTCTCATCTCGTTAGCTGGCATCCGCCGGCCCACAGTGCTCATTGAACTTGATGCCTTTTGTTGCTGAGGTGATCTCGTTGAATAAGAACCACACAGTCCAGTGTCGCCTGTATACAAATGATATGGAGGGCCGGTTTCTTCCGCGATTCCGATGATGTCAGCCGTGTACAGCACGTACAGCATGGTCCACGGACCATGGTCCACCAAACAAAAGCGTAATTAGAATTTTAGTTTTATCGAATCTCTTGCGTTGAACACGAAAAAATTTGAATCTCACCGGATCTCGAATCCGGATTTGGAGCCGTCGCATTGCTAATAGCAGCAGCAATATATCGTATAACAATGTTGATGGTTGATAAAATATAAAATNAGCTATATCAGAAGTGTAGGTAGTATGGCAGTATGGTAACAGTGCTATAGTTCTTGCAGATTTGTTGATGCTGGTAGTATTGGTGGAGGTGGTAGTAGTAGTAGTGAAGTGGGAGATACATCAGGCGGGCAGCCAAGTATGAATTGCATCTGATCTGACAAGAATTTATTATATGGTAGCAACGAGCGTTTGAAAATAAAATATAACAATCCATTGGGAATGTTTGTAAGAATGTATGTAAGAATGTATGTATGTATGTATGTATGTATGTATGTATGTATGTATGTATGTATGTATGTATGTATGTATGTATGTATGTATGTATGTATGTATGTATGTATGTATGTATGTATATATGTATATATATATGTATGCACGCATAGATATCTGTGCGTGCGTGAGTGCGTGCATGCATTCATATATGTATGTATGTATGCATGTATGTATGCATGTGTCGATACTACTTACTTTTGCGACACGTGCATGCGCAATTTTTGCACGCGCAAGCACCGCATCATGTGGTAGCCCGAGTTTCGAATGTATTCGAACCTGGTCATCACGCCATTGCAGCAAAGCAAATTAACAAACATTCTATGTTCTGATCCATCACGCCAATTAATAGGTATTGGACTTAATGACGATGGTAATGATGATAATGATAATAATAATTATTATTATTATTATGAAAGTATGAAAGCAGTAGCCATGCTATTAAAAAATAAAATGAAATTTGCAATGAAATGCCGAAGGCAGAATAACAATGGCTTACCATTGACCAATCATCATCTCTGGCATCATCATCATCACCAACACTATTGCCAGCGTCACCGTCACTACAATCATAATTATCGTTATCATCACCATCATCATCATGTCATCATCATCATCATCATCACAAATACCTTTGCAGGTGAAACCTTGCTTGCCGAAACCCCTGTTGTTGAAATAATAAATGAATGAATGAACAAATAAATAAATGAATAAAAAATAAATAATTGAAAAAATGAACATTTTTCAATCTGATGATTAGATCCCGCAACAAAATCAGCAAAGAATCAAAGGAGTGAATATAAAGTAGAGAGAAGGAAACTCTCGTCAGTCATGTCCCTAACTTCCTACTGTTGCCAAGAAGAACATTCACCTCAATAAAAACACATGAAAAAATGAAATATTAATGATCGGCGCAGCGAGATAGTGTAGAGGTAAAATATCCGTCTTCGGTGTTGCAATGGCCGGGCTTGACTGAAAGAAAATCTTCCAACTTTCATAGGCAAATATAATACGCTTTTTTTCAAGCACTTGGTTCCGAGTGCTTCTAAAGAACTTGGTTCCGAGTGCTTCTAACGCAAACTGTTGGGCGCTATACAAATGACAGATTATTATTATTATTATTATCATTATTGTTGTTGTTGTTGTTGTTTACGAAACTTGAGCGGGAATCACTCTATCTATTGAATGATCACCGTTGTACACTGCAATGGAAGGAGAACAACATTAACGTCACACAGTTTAAAGTGTGGACGGGCAGTATCGTTAATGAACGATTTTTGACCACATGCCACAGACCAGTCTGGTTCCGAGTCTGAGATTTTTGACCACATGCCACAGACCAGTCTGGTTCACAGACCAGTCTGTGGCATGTGGTCAAAAAGAGTCAAAAAAGTCTGCTACACTACTCACTAACATTCTATATCATCATCATCATCATCGTCGTCGTCATCATCATCATCATCATCATCGTCGTCATCATCATCATCATCATCATCATCATCATCACCGTCATCATCATCATCAACAACATCAACAACATCAACAATAGAAAACAAACAACCAAAAAAGGATCATCATCAGCACCAACACAAATGCATCTGCACTACGAACACTATAGTAATCATTAAACTTCACAACAGAAAAAAAACGGTCATCATCATCATCACCATCATCATCTTATAAGTATCATCATCATCATCATCATCAAATATATGAACATCATTATCACCGCTAGCAATGAAAATCATCAATAACATTCCCATCATCAGTACGTTCATCAGTAGCATAAACACCATCATCATCCTTTTATTAACGTCACCATCATCACCATCAGCATCATTCATAACCGTTATCAGCCCATCATCGTTAAGATTTTCATCAATATCATCATCATCAGCGTCATCATCATCATCATCAGTTCAGAAGCATTAACATCATCATTATCACCAACAATTAACATCATTATCATCACCATCAT